AAAAAAAAAAAAAAACGGCGAAGCCTCGAGGAGCTCCGTCCTGGCGGCCGGTTCCAGGGCCCCGGGTTGGGCCGCGAAGAGGACCGGGGCACCGAGGTTGCCCTCCTGTTGGCGACTTTTTAAGGAAGTTTAGAGTTTTTTTAGGGAGTTCAAGGGTTTGGGTTGCCCTCCTTTTGGCGACTTCTTAAGGAGGCTTAGGGTTTTAGGGAGTTTAGGGTTTGGGGAGTTTAGGGGCTAAGGGTTGCCTTCCTTTTGGGGACTTCAAGGAGGTTCTTATAGGGAGGTGGCCCTCCTTTTGGCGACTTCTTAAGGAGGTTTTGGGTTTTGGTAGGGAGTTTAGGGGTTTGGGTCAAGACTTTAAGGAGGTTTAGGGTTTTTCGGGAGTTTAGGGGTTTGGGGAGTTTGGGGTTTGGGTTGCCATCCTTTTGGCGACTTTTTAAGGGGGGGTTAGGATTTGTTTAGGGAGTTTAGGGGTTAAGGGTTGCCCTCGTTTTGGGGACGTTAGCTTAGAGGTTTAGGGATTTTAGGGTTTGAGGCTTCAGGGTTTAAAGGTTTTACGGCCGCTTGGGGTTTAGGGCTTAGGTTAGGGCTTTAGCGGTTTAGGGCTTCAGGGAGTTTAGGGTTTGGGAGTTTCGGCTTGAGGGTTTGGGGATGCTTGCGTCGAAGTTTTTTGTGGGTGCGTGGGTGGGGAGAGTATGAGGGGTTAGTTAGGGAGTTGAGGTCTTTTGCTTGAAGCCTTTTTTGGTCTAGTCCCTAAACCCTAAACCCTAAAGGTTGTTTTTGAATGAAGATGGGTCTATGCGAAGGGATTCGCGAGGTTGCCATGAGCTACAAGGTTGGAGGGTTTTGTAGGATTTTCGGTGGCCTGGGCCTTATTTGAGCGGATGATGGGCTGTAAGGGCTACCATGAGATTCTGCTGCTTTTTACCAGGCTTTCTGGAAACACACGCCTCCAGACATTCAAAAAAACTGAAGTGAGGAAACTGCAAACCGAACCCTGGAGACGAAGACCCCGCAACCTGAGGCCGCTGCCACCCTCAATCCGAAACAGCCCTTAACCGACCAGGGTTTCTCGATACCAAAAGAAGGAAAACCCTCGGCCCTACAGAACCTAACCTTTTTTTGAGCAGGGACTGCAATGCACTACGCCCTGAATCCCCGTTCTAACCTTTAAGACCCTAGACTTTTGTGTACCTAGGGCCTAGGGGCCATGAGGATGCTGGGAGTTGTGATTGTTTGGGCCTCACACGGGTTTCGGGCTTCGGATCGGGGCTTGTCATCCCATCCGACAGTTTCTACTGCCTTTGAGGTTTCGGCTTTCTGCGGTTCAAAACCGACACGGGGATGACACTCAAAAGCCCTCACCCCCCCCCCCCCCCCAAAGAAAAAAGAAGCTTCAAACTTAAGCCTGCCAAAGAAATTCAGAAACCCACAGACCGAGAAATTTTAGAAGCACTGCAGGCTTTCAAACCTTCTAGATTCTAAACCTGAGTGAAGTGAATCTGCCTCATTCGCAGTGGCCCAGAAGCCTCTCAACTTCAAACCCTCCCATCACTCGCAAAGCCCTCATTTACCCCGGTACGACTTGTTCTAACCTCGCAAGCCTTCACCTACAGGCCCTACAACTCCAAAAGCAAGGCCGGGGGAAAAAAAAAACAACTCTAAACCTGAAGCTCTGAACTCCAGTGCCTTCAAATCTGCAAGGGCTGGTTTGCCCAACTCCTCCACAGAGATGCGCCCTCTGAGACACCGACACGACAGCCTTCATGTAAGATTGAAAATTTAGGACGCCAAGCCAGACTGTATGTATGTACGCGCGTATGTACGTACGCATGTATGTAATTATGTATGTGTGTAT